TGGGTACGTCGTCAAAATTGGGTCATATTTTCATGTCAATAATTAAGGATTCAGAGCTATAGACAGTGGTGTAATTTAAGGGGAAGTTGGTTTTGGATTTGTTTGCCTAAGTCCTTGGAACAACCGCAAACACAGTACCACACACACACAAAGTACACCACACACACGTATGTCCACTCTTCACCCTCTTTATCATGTGCTATAAGTTATAATAATTCTCATGTTGTCCTACATTCAATGTTTTTTCCCTTCCCTATTGATAAATAATCTGTCTGTCCATAATATGCATGGTCAGGACATATGTGATACATATTTTTGGATAAAGTTAAATGGATCACTGAGGCTATTATTACTAATATTGATTCTGAAAACTGAACAGCATTTTCTGAGCACATTCACACTCCTAATATTTAAATGTATATATTTTATAAGAAACAGGCCTGTGGGATTGTGTAATATATTCTATGGGGATTATATGATGTAACATTCTATACATTTAGAATTGGGGTGTGGCTTATACACTATGTATCTTTAGTTCCATTGAATATTTGTCAGAAATTTGTCTTTTAATTTAATTCACTGAGAGTGCGTTTTAATTAATTCCTGAAAGGAAACTGACTTCTACTGTAAACCAAAAAATCACCAATTTAAAAGAAAAGAAAAAAAAAAGTGTGTTTAAATATTTCTCTTTGTTGTTTGGAACCTTTGAAATCAAAGGAAAAAAAGGACCAAAATCTGTAAGAAATACTTTACCTACTTTATTTCACAAATGTATGCCCTAGGGTTATAATACATTCAAACAAATGTATGCCCTAGGGTTATAAGAGCGTACATTCAAGGAAGCATTTGTCTTGAAGCTGTAGACTGAGAACCTGTTACATATATAAAAAAATACTAAAAGGATTAGGTTACATAGGCACTAACTTACAAACTATGGGGATTGGGGAACATTTTCACCAATTACTACCCCTCAGTCCCCAACCAATATAAAAAAGTCTAAATAAAGGGAAAAGTTAGAAAAAGTTAGTTTTAAGCACGTCTGTATCCCAAGTGGGTTACATGTATTATTTTCTAAATTGGTTTGTGAATAATGAATAGAATTAAAGTTGGTCTTTGAAAGAACCAAAAGTAATTTCCTTGTCTTTAACCCTGATAAGCTAATTAAATGTCAAATGCGTTACCAAATTACAGATTTGAGTTTTATTTATTTTGGGAGAATCAAATAACTTTTCTTTAAATGTGCAAGTTCTCTGGCACATAATGAGCAATACTGTTATTGTACTGTATGTACAGTAATCTGTTTATTAAAAAGTTAAATGGGTAATAAATGCAATTTTTATTTTTTCTTGTTATCACAGTGTTTTTTTTCCTTTGACCAAAACTGTCATGTTATTTTTTTTTTTTTGTTTATCCTAAACTAAAACTGTTTAAATCTTCAAACTATAGCAAACAGTGACAATAACCATTCATTTCAGTTGGACTATAGAATGGCATTTCACTTTTTTTTCATCATATTCCTCTTCTGCATCTCATTCACGCTTTATATTCTGGATGAAAGGAGAAAGAAACGTGTGATATGTGTTACATCCTTTCAGAGATAATGATCTGCAGCTACCATTGCTACACTGGCCTCTTCCTGTTGGCTCTTTCTCAAAAGGCGTTAAAACTCTGCTTAGGGCCCATATACTTTTATCCATTTTCATTACTGCGTCTGATCCCGTCTCTAATGTGGCACGTAAGGGACCACCTGCTTTGTATTTGAAAAGTGCGAGCAGCACTAGAGCCCAAGAGATGAGCGTGTCAGTTCTATCTAAGACACAGCTTGGGGTTGCAAGGCTTCACCTGGCTCTCGATGCGTCTCCAACACCTGCCTCGCTGATGAAAGCTTTACGCAAATGATTTCACGTATACGATTGCTGCTGTGTGAAGGTTAATTCTCAGTAAGCCCCTGGTGTTCTAAGGCTTGGCATCCAAACACCATATCATGAGCACAAGCATAGTAATCAAGAGCTTCTTTCTGGCTGCTGTGTCACACTGAGCCCCCGCCCCCCACTGTGCTGCATGGCTCTGTGAATTCAGCCGCCTTATCAGCAGACCTATGACCACACAGACATATTCTTTAGATTTCACCACCGTGTCATGGCTAATGTCTGTCCTCATCTACGGTTGTTTGAGTTTCGTCTCCCACCACGTGTTGCTGGTATGGAGACCGTATAGTTTAACTTTTGCACCAATTAAGTGTTTCTGGAGCTAAAGGCAGGCTCATATTTTATCCTCACCACCAGGATGTTAGATTGGTTGCATAAAAAAATACCCCAGCTGTTGATACTGCATGGAGGTTAGAGCCTGAGCAAGCAGGACTCTGTTGACATGCTTCATTATTTACCCTTCCTGTTGTGCAAGTTGGGGGGGAAGTGCTACCAGGAATTTAAAGTTTGTGGCACCACAAGATGATTAATTTACACTGACGGGAGCGCGGCTACTGCAGCATAAGATGTTTGCAAATATTTGAATATGTCATTACTGGCCGTTTTCAAAGTAAAGATACGGCCAGAATATTGTGTTTTTTGCTCATAATGGCAATTAGGTATGCTTCATGCAAAACTGGATATTTAATTTGAAAAAACAGCAGTACATGCTCTTAGCCGATTCACATGGGAATAGAGAAACTTAAAAATAAAATATTATACGTATGTGTATATACTGTATGTATATATTACATTTTTTTTAAATAATTCACAGAGTTAAATCATTTATTTCTCAGGCAGCATTTATTTTGCCTCTACCTGTCTCAGGTCGAACAAAAGGGTTGATGTTGGCAAGGAATTTACGATTTCATCAATCACCCGCTCCGTAAATGCTCAGGCCTCTCTTTAATGCCTCATTAATGCAATGCAACTGTCAGAGACAGGCATTAAAGCCTTCATTTGAATGTCACCTTGGTTCCTGCTGTATGAAAGCCTGCTGGGCCAGCTGAAGTCAGGATGTCGGAGTAAATTCAGTGTTTTCACCCTTATTAAAGGTGTGAATGCTTTTTTTTCTGATCTCTTTTTTTATTTTTATTTTTTAAATGTTTTTTTAATATCTCAGTTATGTTACAATACAACAATCAAATTGAGGGATTTTCAATTGAAAAAAAAAATAAACAAAAATTCCTTTCAAAATGTAATAAAAAACATTCATTTCTTCAGTCATTTTAATTGTGTCGCAGGAAATCAGAGTGAGGTGTTTATTAGAAATTTACTTTTTTTGATATTTGTTTGGTTCCATTCAGAAGGTATAAATAAACAACCAGAAGATACAGTGCTACATGAAAGCATTTCCAAGACCCCCACACAACATATTTGAAAGGGACATGTCTTTGAAATAAGCGGGTGAGTTATGTTCCATCGTGTTAGTTAAAAATATACTTGACTAGAATTTTGGCGAGACCTTGGAATGCTGGTCATTGAGCTTCCTATCATTAATGTAAGCTTCACTTAAAAATGTGTTGGCAAACTTTACATAATTTATCTCTGTTTTTATATATCATTAAAAAAATAATTAAATTTAGGATTGACCCGCTAAGTTTGATTGTCATGGGGAAAGGTCTTTCTTTCTTTGTGCTTTTTGGTTCTGCTACTCCGGTTATTTTAGCCACTTTGTTACGCAACATACATTGGAACAGAGGGAGAGCTTTTCCTTCCGACGTGACCTGTTGGCAAACAGGCCAAAGCCCAAGCTGGCGATTTGACTTTCCATTTGTGTTTGGTCAGGATGATGCAGACTGTCCTGACACCTCTGTGCTTCAGCTGTCATCATCAGTCACACGCTACACAACAGACCTGAACGCTCGCTCTAAATTTAGATACCCTCTTGTGTAACAGTCTCAAGAAGTTAGTGACTTCATCACGCCTGTGTCAGCATTTAAACAAGGAGAACTGCAATCGTGCATCTTGGTTTTCCAATACATACGATATTGTGTACATTTTTAATGATTCAAATCCTAAGGAGTTTTTACTCAGTAAGGTTTTAGTTCAATTAATTAGTCCGGAATTAAGCAACCAGGAAGTTTAATCAACGGTCATTCTATTGACAACTTGACTTCACTCATGGTGAATTAATACATTTAATTCCACTAAATCTATTGGCTGAGATTGAAGCATCCATCTCATGGGCCAGTTTGCAGAATGTTTTGCTTCTGTTGCTAATTGTTCTGTCTGCAGTGAAATCCTGGCTCCTCTGGTGCTGCTAAAATATTTTACTGTACCACTGCTCAAAAATGGACTTTAATAAAATTAGCAATTGGTTGATTTTTCTTCCGTCTCCAACTCTCTCCGGGTCTTATTCTATTTTGGAGAAAGTTGGATGCAGAGGAACTCATTTTTATTTAGTACCTAATTCCAGTCATCAAGCTCTTTATTTTGAGAGTTGTTGAACTCAGGAGAGAACCTGTGAATGTGTGCAATCTGTGGGTAAGAATTCATAATATGTTGTTATGAGAATAGAGCAAAGGGAATAAAAAGTAAGGTAATCGAAGAAGGAAAAAAACATTTCAATAATTGGAATGCCAAATTGCCAAAGAATTACCAGTAGATCTCTACAATGAACTGTATTTGCTTTTTTGTGGTGCATTTAAACAGTGTTTGTTTCTTTTTTTATAATTGCCCACATGTATGTGGATTTGATCATTTGTAAGACTCCAGTTCACTGATCAATATCATGTTAATATGTATTCAAAAATCAATTAAAAAGTTTTAAAGTTAACAGTAATTCAAAAGTAGAGTAATACATGGAGATAGATGCATTTAGTAGAAAAACAAAATAAAATCTCAAGATGGTTTGTCCAAAGTTAACTTATCCAAACATTTGCCAAAGAAATAACATTAACCAGAGTAAAAATTCTGCTACCAAACCTGTGGCTATTAAAATATCCTTCTTTTTTTTTTTTCTTAAGACCCATAGAGATGTGTTTTCAGTATTTTCATTCAGGTGTGTGTGTGTGTGTGTGTTTCCTGTGGTTTGAAGGTATGAGCTGCTACAGAAGCAGCTCTTTCAGCTGGAGGAGGCGGAGGGGGGCTTCGACCAGTTTACCCGCAGCTACAGGAGCTTCGGTGTGCAGCGACGACCTGACAACAGCCTCTTCTTTAAAGAGTGGGCTCCTGCTGCAGAGGCCCTCTTCCTCACTGGTGACTTCAGTAAGTACTGCACTGTGACACCGCTGTACCATATCTACAATTTCAAATGATCCATTTGAGAGAGTTTGATAATTATTACCGTATTACATTATTTATTGCTTTAATATTTAATTTACAAATACAAATCCAATCATGTTCTATTGCAGTTTTCCAAACTTTTTTTTCTGGAGACCCATATTTTAAAAGACACAAACCTTTGCGATCCAAGTCCTGGGAAACATGATGCGAGAGGACCCCCCAAAAAGCTCTTGCGACCCACCTCAGGGTCACGACCCAGTCTTTGGGAAACAAGAATGCGTTCCCAGTTGAACCTATTCACTGTTACTATGGAGATACAGTATTTCACTGCACACATGTTTATTCATGTTGCAATTAGAGGGATTTGCTTGCATTTCTGCTCTTTCAAGCACAAAAGTTAGAGTTAAATTTAAACACAGCCACTCGGGTGCACTGGTATCAGGCTTTTTGATCCACTGACCTGGGAGTAGGAGAAAATAGTAGTAGAAAATATTGATTACATGGTATAAACTTACATACTCCTAATGTGGGAGTGTGTATTAATATTTTAGAGGCTTGTTATTTCATCATCGCTGCAAAGATGCCGAGAAAAATTGCAACCTCTGTGTTTGCTCTGAAATCTCTGTCCCTGTGGTCTTAGCTTTGAAAGTAATTCCAGGTGATTGGTCTGTGGAGTCTTTTATCTCCATCCAAATATGGGATGTTATAAAAGTATATACATATATATATATATATATATATATTCTTTTTTTTAAAGATATTTATTTTTGTCATCATTAACAAGATAAAACTAGATTCACTTTCATCTGTCAAAGTGATACACAAGGTAAAACAAGGTCTGGCATTTTAATTTGTTTTTCTTTTACTTTCATCGAGCGATCCATTATATATGTCAGCAGTAATTTCTAGAATTACTCCAGCGGGATTAATACAGAAAATGCAGGAGAGGAATAAACACAAAACAAGGTGAAATATTTCCCACCCGTTCACATAGCTCAAATAGTGTTAGTAATGCTCCATGCACCACAGACCGAAGACTACTTACCTCTCTGCTGCTGCCATTCTGAACTGACACTCGCCTGATAGTGATAAAAGAAGCAAATGCTAATAGTAATACCGCTCAGATTGATTCTGTTTTCAATCCTGGAGTTTCCTTTTCTGAACATTTCTCTCTTTCGTCTCTTGCTGCCAGTCCGTCTTTCTCAATTATTCCTGTTCGGTTTATTTTTTCATAATTATCCCGCCTGGAACTCGGCAGCCGCTCAATTTCCGGCTTTCAATTCCGTGGGACATTATATTTTGACACAGCCCAGTCATGTTATTTGATTTCAATTTGGCAATAAATGTGAAAACAGCCCAGTAGCCCTGTTCATGAATATGTTGCGGGTCGGCTGCATAATGTTCTTTGTTCTATCTGGAGGTTTTTTTTCTGAGGAGCTCAAGCTCAGTCGGAGAAATAAATAGTAGAGAAAGATTTGGGCTGACCTGTTTAAAAGTGCTGGTGTTCTGCCCAGTCACTTTCTGAGCATCTCATGCAATTCATCTTCTCTCCCATCTCCTCCCGGTGAGTACACAGCAGATATGGATTAGTGTAAGTCGGTATAAACCAAAGCCTAATAATAAATGTTTAAGTTGTAATATTTCCCTGTCTGTCGTCGACAGAGGGTAATGTGGTATCAGCGGGTTATGAATTTAACGCCTCTCTGTTCTTCATGCGGGGGGGTTAATTCAATGAGCGCTGAAGTGGTACTTTATCATTTTGCCTTTCAGATCAGTGAGCCTGCTGCTTCTACACACGGATGCATACAGGAGATCACTGCTGATCACAAAAACCAACCTGAATGTATTACGATAATGAAGTCCAAGGAAAAGACATTCATTTAGATAGACTTACAGAAAATACAGGTCACAAGAGAGGTAAAAAAGTTGCAGTAGGGAAGGGATGTCCACAGTCTGGCCTTGGTCCTAATTGTGGCACGGGGTCAAACTTTATTTGGCCTGCAGCCTCGATTAAAAAATGCATCACTCGTGGCCCACCAGCATTCTGCTCAGAGTAGAAATACACACACAAACTGGACAGTTAAGATCACTGGGTGGCCGTTCAGTATCTCGCTAGCTAATTTTCTATGTATTACCTTTTATTATTAGGTCACAGATTACAAATGCAGATTTATTTTCTATTTTTTAACAGTTCAGATAGCTAAAATATTCTCTAAAAACCAAATTATTGCGTCTTTTATTATATGTTAATATTTATAATAATCACTTTGTACAGCTGTAAAACACCAGTTCAATTACTTTAGTGCACGTCACTCAAACATGAAATACATCCATGATCCACATCTTGGTGCCCACCTACCAGGATCTCTACAGTAAGAACAGTTTCTGTCACTGTTTACTCCATATGTCAATGCCACAGTGGCTGAAACCCCATCTACCTTAACTCAAGACGAGGGGAAAAGAACCCAAAAAAAAAAAAAAATCAAGACAATGACAAATTTTAGGTTACGGAAAAATTGGTACGTATGCGAAAAAAACAAAATGAGCAGAGGAGAAATCCGGAGCGCTGAAGAGTTGGCAGCACAATTCATCACAGCAACCAGCAATGTTTTAAAAATACCATGACATCCATCACAGGCAGCGTTTCATCACTAGCTTCATTAATTGCCAGTGTTGCTAAGTCACTCTAATTCTAACAAATACACCCAGGTGATATCACTGGGAATCAGTTTACTCCTGCACGCAAACTAAAACCAATCTGCCCCCAGGGCTTAAACCCAAAATAACCAGAGGCAGCAGAGACGTTCTCCGCCTCACGACGCTGCAGCCATAAATGGTAGCTATTTCCTCCCTTGGAGAACAATTGTCATGCACACTTCCAATTTCATAAAGAGCAGATAAAAGGTTTATTACATACAGAATGGCTAGCTTTATGTCTAGTTTCTAATTTCCCTAGTTTTTTGTTTTTCTAAATTTATATTTTTGTTGTTCCCTATTGGAGCTGAGTAAATTATACTGCTGAGTAGAAATCGATTCCTTTAGCCTACTGGCAAAGTGGGACGAGGACTGTAGTTAAAAGCCCCAATGAGGCGATAAATGTAGCCTGACTTGACTGCGTAAAAATCCTCTGGCTGATGAGCCTGGCGACTGGCAGAGACGGAGACCAACACAGCGAAAATCTCATTGGATTAAAACCAATTGATTCTGATAAAATGTAGGGTCAGTTTATTGTCCTTTTTAATTGGTCAAGGTCAATGGGCTGAACCAATGGTGAGCTGCTTGTTACTGTGCAATGATCCATTTGCGTCATGTACTACTTCAAGTATTTTCTTACGACGATGTATCTGGATTTTGGAGTAGTATTTGTGGTATTACAGTGGAAGTGTAGTGTCAAGTATTAATGTACATCACATGGGATAGACAGCTCCATCCAGTGGAATGTGGCAACTTTGCACATCATCAACATTACATTGTTAAAGAACATCACAAACAACAAGACTAAATGTTTGTTGATTTTTTTTTTTTTTTAAATCAGGGTCCATTTTGACTAAAAGTGAGACCTACAAAAGAATCCCTAACATGATCAAAAACTGTTTATCACTGTTAACCAATGGTTAATGGTAAAACTGATGGTAATAATAAATGTGATCTTGAGTCTCTCCAGTTAGGGTTGATACCCAGAAATGTTCAGTAAACTGTGTTCCAATCCTCTCTCTGTTCACACTTAGATGCCTGGGACAAATTCTCTCACCCCTACTGCAAGAAAGACTTTGGAAAGTGGGAGCTGATTATACCTCCTAAACACGACAAGTCTCCAGCTGTGGATCATAACAGCAAGCTCAAGGTAGAGGAACAGAACATCTTCATGCCTATTTTCACTCCCTCGGCGGGTGTCATGCTGCTGCAGCGGCATGGGAACGTGTCACGGTAATGTGCAAAGGGAGATTGCCTGTCATGTGCCGTGTCTTATGAAGCAAGTAAAAACCTGGCGTGTCGCCGTCACTGACGTGTCACGTGGACAGTCAGCAGAAAGAGGATCGTCTTATGAACAGTCCGCACAGTGGAGGGTAGATGCACCCGAGGAGCTCATCTGATGGCTTTTGTTTTTTAGATCCCATCTGTGGCAGCCCACGGAGGACTCAACACAGTGTGGTGTTTTTGTTTTGTTTTTTTTGCGCTGAAAAGCACAGGTCATGGGTTTTTGTTGGGTTTTTTTAAGTAATTTACCAGGGTTAAATGATAAAACACACACCTCCCATTATGCATTGTGTCTTCTCAACAAACAGCATAGATGGGAGGTAATCCTGATGTGAGATGCCAGATGAGAAGTGGATGGCAGCGTGGCTCCACTCTCCTTGGGACTGGGTCAGAGTTGGCAGGCTCCTGCACCCTGGACAGTCTGCCCAGCTCCCATTGTCAGTGGAGGTCAGTCTGAGGACGATAAGAAGCAGATGGAAATGCTGGCACCTGGCCTTTCCTTGTGCACCCCTGCTGCCTATGAATGGCTATCGCACTAAGAGCCCCACTTTAGAATTAGTTCCACAGCACTCCCTCGTGGAAGCACGAGCTTTGCTGCGTTCACTGTCATACAGAGCGGTTTGCCCTTCCAGCCCCTTTTGTTTTGGCCTCAGTTTGTCTTCGTAGACGTACAGAAATGTGCACATACTGTATTAACCAAAAATATGTTGCTGTAATGTGCATGACTTTGACAAAGGTAAATTGGAGTAATCCAATGCCAATTTTTTCTGCAAATTGCTTGCCCAGAATTTTCTTCTTTTGTTTATTCAGACAGTACAGCCCTCAGCTGCTCCAGACCTCAGATTTTTTTAATGCACTAATGCTGGCCAGTTTGTCTGAAGGGCCCTGGATCTCTCAGGCTTCATGCCAGTCCATTTATCCAACTATCTTTTCCTAATCCTATAAACTGCGAAGCTCGTCATAAGCGGAGCCAGGCAGCCAACCCCCAAGTGGCCTGGTCATAATGAAAAAACCCAGAGGGGGTCTGGCCAAAGACTCACTGGCAGGTGGCATTGGAACAGTTATTACTTCACAACAGAAGCCTGAATTAGCCAGGTTCTAATGTCCGTTCTGCAAGGGATGCATGAGGGCGAACACACACTGTGGCTAACTCCACAGGATCGATTCTCTATGTTGGCTTTTCAAACTCTCACCCAGTCTTTTTTTTTTTTAAGATTTTACTGATAGAGCCAATGTAGCTTTTTAGTATGAATTTTTTTTTTCCTAACTACTCCAAATTGACCCCTTTACTTTCTCAAAGTGCAGACATAATTGACGAGAGTCAAAGGATAATGATTCAGATTTCCCTTTTTTCTAAATTGATCCTTTGCTCAAGTCTTTCTCCCAGAATGGAGCAGTCGGTGGCCCAGTTAGAGCAAACACAGAGAACACATGAACCTTTCATGTAACATCATGCAGCACTGGTTCTCAACCTTCCTAGCACTCCATGTAGCTTCTTATATCAGGGTGGATGCTGTACAATAGATTGAAATTGCACAATAAATGATCAAGCTCTAAAAATTTAAAACATATCTATATGCTTAAAAAATGCTTCCCAAAACTAAAACCTAGTTTAGTAGTTCTTTTGACTTAGAATCTCTATTTATGAGTTTTTTAAATTATATACAACAGCATCTTCCACCCAAGATTTAATCTTTGGATACTTGTACAACTTCACCAGACATTTGTCTGTCGTCGCCTGTCAGTCAGACATCAGACCAATCAAAGAAGAAGTGAAGTGAGGTAAGGTGAAGTGGAATGGCCTTTTATTGAAACTCTAGTGCAGGAGACGACCTTTTTGAAACTGAGAGCTACTTCAAGGGTACTGAGTAATACGAAGAAGTACTTGTTTGATACACGAATAATGTAATAATAATAAAAAAGAACCAGTTTGGCCCCTTCAAACACTCTTTTTACCATTGTAACTGCAGCCACTTGAACGCCATTGTTATTGTAACTGATTCAAAAGGAACAAGTCGCACTTAATTCCAGTTGTTTGATCCTCCAGTTGACTTGTTTTATTTCTAGGACACACTCCTGCCAGGTTTCCATTGTTTTTTGAATAATTGTTCAAATATATATATTGAAAAAAAATATATAATCTTTTTTTTTTTTTATGTTTTATCTGCATCACTTTCAAAAACATCCAATGACTGCCTGATGGCTTTGGTTGTATTCCCTGTCGACTCATTTGACCAAAAAGTATTTCCCTTTGCAGTTTGTGCCTGTTGTATCTCCTCTGTGGTTTATTTTATTGCCCTATAACAAAGACAGTATTTTTACATTATATTTATTTATTTATTTTCCTAGGTGGTGGTTCACACCAAGGAGGGTAAACGACTGTACCGCATCTCACCCTGGGCAAAATACGTGACCAAGGAGGAGAAGTCTGTCATCTATGACTGGGTTCACTGGGACCCTCCTCATCCGTACATTGTGAGAATTGATTCCTTTTCTTATGTCTTTAGACTGAAACACTAGTGTACTAGATGCTGCAGAACTTTAAAAAAAAAACAACATAAGTGTTGTTTGTTGTCCTGGGCTCAAGCTCAGCCAAGTGTAATGAGTAGTTAGTACTTCCTCTCTGATTGACTTCTAACAGAAGTACTGTATAGTATACAGTATACTGTATTTGCTCAGCCTTAAAGTGGCAGCCGTGTGCGTCACACTTAAGGTCTGTGGTTAGCCACAAAGAACACCGTTTCACAGCATGTATAAAACAAATCCCCTCGGTTGTGTATCGTCGACACAGTGAATCATGGGTATATTAATATTTAATGTGAAGAACTATTTTCAGCCTCTGTGATAAGATATTTTCGTGCGGCGATCCACGTCGTCTTTGACCTTATTGTTTGGTTACCAAATGTTCTTTAATTTTTAGCAAAGAACGTGCTGTACTCATCATCCCGTGTCTGTTGTGTATTTTGTTTTTTGTCTTCCAGCAAATACATCCTCGGCCAAAGAAACCCTCGAGCCTGAGAACATACGAGGCCCATGTGGGAATTGCTTCACCAGAGGGAAAGATTGCTTCCTATGCCAACTTCACAACCAACGTGCTGCCCCGGATAAGGGACCTGGGTGAGACATAAGAACAGGAAATAATCTCCTTGAAGTTGGCTTCTTTCATTTTAAACGTCCTTGTTTCCACGACGAGTATTTAGGCCACATTGAGAATAAAAAAATAAAAGTAAAAGCCATACATTCATGAGAGTAAAATCTAACGTTATGAAAAAAAGTAATAATTATTTTAAAAAATAAATTCCTAATATTCGTACAAACGCGTCATCCCATGCATCGTGTGTCCAAGTCTCGAACGGAAACTTTAAAAACCACTCTTTAAACCACTTATGATCAAATGTCTAATAAATGCTGTTATCTTGGTGGTAAAGACGTCTAATAAATGCTGTTTATCTTGGTGGTAAAGAGAACTTTTCATTGTCCTGATGCTTATTAGGTATCACCTTTTTTTTGTGAACCCAACACGAACATATAACTGCACGAGATTCTCCAGGTTTCTTATTCTGACACACTTGTTAACAATGTGTGCTCTTCTCTCAGCTCCTCCAAAACATGCCAACTAAATTTATGATTTGAATCCCCTAAACTGATTACTTTTTCATCATAAATTAATGATTTTTTTACCGTAATACTACGGCTATTTTCTCATGAATTTACGACATGTTCATTCTCATAAATTCAGTTCTATAGTGTAGTGGTTATCACGGCTTCCTAACATGTCTACACTCAAAAAGAGTTCCAACCACAGTACAACCATATACTACGTCCTCCTCGTGTAAGTCTCTTTGGATAATAGTGTTTAATGGGACCCCTAATACTACGTCTTAACATCCTCAGTGTCGTGGAGGAAAAGACTTCGATGAGGTTTCCAATAAGTCGTAGAATTTTCCAGATCTGAGCCCCTCTTGTCTGTTTCACTCTGGAGATCATATTGTGATGGGTCACGGAGCAGTTCCTAGCTGCCACTTTACTGCACCTCCTCTGTCAACACTGGGACACCGCCCAGCTCACACAGCGAGGGCTTCTGAATGCCACCACTCTTCTACTTTAGCAGTACTTCCTGTGGCAGACCTGTCGCTCTTGCTTTGCACAGCACAACATCATGAAGTCAACATCATGTTTACTGGCATGGCCTGGAGGGTTACTGCCCATTAGACAGTGTTCTGTAGGTTAGGCTCCACAGCCTGTGACAACACTGACTCTGAAACAGCCTGCCTCCATAAACATGAGTGAAACTCAGGCTGCATCTCGCATTTCTTAGTCAAGTAGAGCACACATATGCATGAACATTCTGGAATGTTGGTCCTGTTCCTGTTTCTGATAAGGCCGTTCTGATGCAATGCTAGGAGCGTATTGATAAAAAGTTTTCTTCGGTCATTTCATTGTGTTTTTCTCTTTTTTGGGGGGAATTTAGATATAATATACATAGATTTGGTAGACAATTCACACACTCTTCTTCTGTGTCTCTCTCTCTGTCTCTCCCCTCTCTAGCCCAAAAAGTGTGAAATAAATAACTCTTTCCTACAGTGGAGACCCCCTCTGGAGAGCTCAATGGTGGTTTAAAAACCTCTCGTTCTCTTATTCATTGAAGAAGTTTATTCATAGGTTGTTCCTAAAATGTTCTACATGACCCTGTGATTCAGATACGTTTGTTTCTCTGTAGCCACGGTCGTGTTTTTCTGACAGAAAAAGCCCGCAGCTCAGGTTCTCAGTATCGGGTCACATCTGGACGCTGTTGAAAAAAAAAAAAAAAAAGATGCGTTTATTTTAAAACGTAGATGTATGTTTCCCTGCCCCGTGCTCCCCAGATATCAATGACCCACTTCTGGACCACAAAAATGGGAAAATCCCAACCAAAACACAAATCACAATTGAGTTTGAGACCCCTATGGGTGACAGGTGGAACTGCCTCAGGTGACACTCCCACATTTCTCAAATTAAAGAAATTCACATTGAACCAATATTTTTGACCAGTGTTTGTCTCCAAATGAACCGTATCATGTTATTACAGGAACTCTGACTATTGTATAACACAGGATAAAATGGCTCATAAAAAAGACATTAGATGTTTTATGATACAGCCCTGCGTACAATATATTACACACACTTCCGGATCATTCATAATTCAGTGGTTTAAACTCGAGCCTAAATGTAAGGATATCAGCTCCACAATTCATCTTTATCATCTGATAGGAGATTTTTACAATGTAGAGGGGGAAAAAATGATATTGTTTTCCCTCTCTGACCCTTTTCCCCTCTTTATTTAGGTTACAACTGTATCCAGCTGATGGCTATCATGGAGCACGCCTACTACGCCAGCTTCGGATATCAGGTTACAAGTTTCTTTGCTGCGTCCAGGTGAATATGTCTTTCTCACAGAGTGATTTGTATCAGACTGTGTCCTTTTTATTGACATCATTAAACTTCATTGTTCATTTTGACTCAATAAACCCAGTTAACAAATATAAAAAAAGACAGTACCAGGACTCAGTAAAATACAGTACTATGTTGTACTGTTTTCTACCATCATTATATATTCAATAATACAAGAAAGAAATTCTGGGGACACAATCCTGTTCATAGAGATGATGTGGCGCTGGTTCAAATCCCAGCCAACATTGAGCCACTCAGGGTTCACCCTTGACTGGTCTGTGGGTCACATGCAGAACAAAAAAGTATTCACACTCGCATTGACACCTTGGTGGGAGCATCTGTGGCTCTCTTTCTGGAAAGGTCACACAAGGTCAATTTTGGCATCTTGTTCACAAAATAGAAAACAAAAACCTGCAAAATTCTGCTGAAATCATCTAGAATAACTTCATGCTCTAAAAAAGTTGGTGACTTCAGATGTAACTCTGTCTCCATAATTCAAGGTCAGGGATGTGTGACACCAGCAATAACGTAAAAAAAAAAAATCTCTGTAAATACATTAGCCTTTAATCCTGGAAACGTTGGGAGTTTTAGATAAAGGAGGCCTAGTCCGAGTATTTATCTCCTTTCAAAGATGCCTCCTTTGAGTAGAGCACAAACTCAAAGTGTAATGTATCTGGTTTAATTTCACCCATGATTGATCTTTCAGCGTCATATAAAACCTGAGCGCTTCAATACCGGGAAGCTGGGTAATAGTGTCGCAATGTGTCCTGTTTTGTAAGAGAGCTGATGTAAAGATAGCTGTGAGGACAGAAAGTCGTTACTGGACGAAACAAGTAGCTGTGGTTTCTGTTCCACACACTTCTCGTTGGTTATTTTCAGATATTAATTTTTTTTTATAAAGATGGAGAAGTATTACATAAGATTTACAAAGCTATTGTCATGGAGAAGTATTACATAAGATTTACAAAACTGTTGTCAACTGATGACTGATGGATGAATAAAACCACAACTGAACAATGTTTATGGAATGAGAATCAATGCAACCGGTCCCTTAAAGCATTGTTTCCCAAAGACTGGGTCGCGACCCTCTGGTGGGTCGCTAGAGATTTTATCGGGTCGTCTCACATCATGTTTCCCAGGAGTTTACGTATAATGTCTGTTGACTTGGGTCGCAAAGGTTTTTGACTTTTAAAGTATGGGTCCCCAGAAAAAAAGTTTAGGAAACACTGCCTTAAATCACTTGTATGTTTTGGTGAAAAACACAGTGTAGTCTGGCTGTTTCTCCTTAATTACAGGCCTGTTGACACTGTGGTAGTATGGTGTAGACAAAAGAACAGTGGGAGGACTTTGTACTTGTGCTGTTACCTTTGAAACTAACAAACCACCTATTTTTGGAGACGGTGGTGACAAGATGCAAAAATTTGTGCTCATGCATGGCAATTAAAAAAAAATCTATCCACTTTTCTTCATTATAACTAAAAAAAGGTTCCGGAAAAAATAACGTAGAAGAAGTCTGCTAATCTGAATAAAACGTTATGTTTTTCACAGTATTAAAGCCAAAGAATAAAATACAATCAAAAAGCATAGCATAGAATTTATTAGCATAGAAAATGGTAGAATAGAATAGAGCTTTATTGTCATTTGGACAACACCAAACAATGCACGTCAAATGCAGGAAATATATAACAATGTAAGTCGTTTAGCATGAATACAGATGTACAGGGGAGTTCCCTTCCTATGGTTTGATGAAACTCGATTTTGACTGTAGATCAGAACTCACATATATGTATATGTATAGTATATAAGTACTGATGTCACTCACCTACAATTACACAGTGGTAACATCATGACCTAGACCAGTGGTTCTCAAACTTTTCATACTCTGTACCACCTGAGAAAACATTGAGCTCTCTGAGTACCACCATGATGACCAACGTTAGAATACAGCAGCACAGGCCTTCGCTGTTATCCTCCACCACGCAGGAGAGATGTTTAGAAATGTTAAAAAAGATGTCTATGTTTAAATGTCGTATTAGTTGTGCGTGGTATGTGTCAGATATATTCAATTGAAAATGTAAATGTGAATTTTCCCCGCGTACCACTAGAGAGTGCTCGTGTACCACTGGCAGTACACGTACCATAGTTTGAGAAGCACTGATATAACTTTCTGTATATTTCTGTATTTGTGACCAGGGCTACAGTATGGTGGACACCAAGGCCTTGTGTAATTTGTGACCAGGGCTACAGTATGGTGGCCTTGTGTATAAAGTTACATTTTTACCCTTGAACAAGTTTTACCTGTTCTTGATGAGGATTATACTGTGACTTTACCAAACATAAACCCCAGATTTTTTTTTTTTTTGATTTGGCAGAAACTAAAAAGTACTCGCTAAGCTTCTGTGTATCTGTGTTTCACAGTCGTTACGGTACCCCGGAGGAGCTTAAGCAGCTAGTAGATGTGGCGCACTCTATGGGCATCGTGGTGCTGCTGGATGTTGTTCACAGCCACGCCTCCAAGAACACAGAGGACGGCCTGAACCACTTTGACGGCTCGGACTCCTGTTTCTTTCACTCTCCTCCCAGAGGAGACCACAGCCAGTGGGGCAGCCGACTGTTCAACTATTCCAGGTACCAAAGGGATCTCTGCTGTTATATTTGTCTAATCACACAAAAACAAACATCGATTCTCCATTCATGTTTTGAGAAGTGCCGATCCATGAGAAGTAAGTTGAAAAATGCACATTTTTATCTTGATTTTACCTTAAAAAAGTTTTTTCCTTTGTGGGTTTGATCTTGGTTTTATAAGTTCAAATTGAAAATGTTTTTTTTATTTTCAACCACCTACACAACCTCAGCTCAAGTGGTGTTCTCTTTTGTGTAATTGGGCACTCTGGAAACTGGCACTAAATCATGTTGTGGGTTACTGCACATATTTTTATATTATCCCACTGTATGTGTGGAGCAGCAAGGCTTTCACTGGTTGCCTTAGAAGTTGGTGGTCTGATACCAGCCTCTGCTGTTCTGTATGCACCCTTTACAAATGTATTCAGAGTCAAAGAATTCGTTTGTTTTTGAGAATAATTCTGTAAACTGCACGACATAAGATTCACTTTTACATTCAGTAAGTGGCTGTGTCAAATGGATTGAAGTTGGTGTCTTATATATGGTATGGGATGTTTGAGTAATGTTTTCCTTTGACGATTTCTCAGGAAAGTTGTTCATATAGAACATTGACAGTTGACTGCGAAGTCTTTTATGAAACCTGCCCAAGGTTTAAAAGCATATTCAATGCAAAGTGCTGCACACAGTCATTAGCTAGACGTAAAATTACATGCTGATGCATTCGTACCATTAGCAATAGATTTACATTTGACAGACATGCTGGTCCTAACGCTATTTTCTAAACCTTTTAGCACAGTTTATTTATGTAACAAAAGCAACAGACGGCCTGCAGATGACTGCAATAACAGCTCAACGTTATTTTATACTTTAGATGTAAAGATAAATTCTACGTATTTTTTTTTTTATTCAGTCATTAACACGGGAAGTCTGAACTTTGGTAAAAGAAAAAATTCTGCCTTTTTGATAAATGTTTTGCGTGGTCTGTGCACAGGCTTTATGTAAAACAAAATCAAAATAACTTGATGCTTTTTATTTTTAAGATTTTAAAAGATCTCCAATGTCAACAATTTCCGACAGAAATTACACGGAACAAAAATCATGACAGGTTTTATCTGGAGTCGCAAATAAGCTCCGTGGGTGTCTGGATGAAGCATAAATTCTCTACAATACACAAATAAATAAATGTTAATCTTTTAAATCCATCATCATCAACACTAATCTATTTGTAAATAATATGAGGTACAGAAATAAACAGTACAGAAATACCATACTCCAAAGTTATCTACACTAAGAACAAACCTGTGTATGGATGAGGCCAGTGAAGTTTGATTTTCTATAGGCTAAAAGAATAACAACACATGGGCACATTGTTGCTCTAAAACCAGTCGATACACATGCTGTTATTTACACACACTGCTGGAACATTTTTCTTCACGAAGCACCTCAAGCTTAAAATACCATCTCATGGAGGCTCCAACTTCAGCCTCACTGAGTGCAGGGCAGTGAATAAGTCTACGGCTGACAAGTTGACTGACAGAATTTTATAATGTGTTATGAGGAACTGTAGACTGATATAATATTGTGAGTGACAACTCTTGATGCTGCTTTAGCCCTCGATCGAGAATTTCAACCAAAAAATCAAAGTTACTAACAATGTAAGCCACACTTGGGTGTTCAGGATGATTTAGTTAAATCAGACTTATTACTTACTGCTGCTTTATTCCAGTTTGCTGATGGTATGTTGTTGACATTTTCTTAAACTCCTAAATAACTCATAGTCCAATGCGAGACATGATCTTAAAAAAACCAAAACAAAATAACTGACCCCTGAATGTCAAAACTACACAGTGGGGCTCGTTCATATCTGCCATGCTTGGACTGGAAAATACATTCATATTGTATATACTGTATTAAACTGTTTTGTACACTGTAACATTTTTGTAACAATTTGGGGATAATTTAAAAAACAAATCTACCAAAAAGAAAAAGTATTTCTCTAGCGAACTCGCCAGTAGATGGAACAGCAGCAACTAAAAAGTGTTAGAGTCATACACGGTACTAGGTTATTCAGTGAGGATTACCTCGTTATAGGTATTTGTAACAAGGTAACCCTGAAACCATCAAGTCCCATTATTCAACTAAATAACTCAATGACTGACTTTGGTAGAAAACTGGTCTGGGTAACAAATAATTATGTGGAAATATATATCTGAAAGGCCATCTATTTATATTGCCATCCAATTACACAGAGGGGAAAGAACGGGGGTCGGAGGTCAGAGGTCAGGGAGGGGGTTTGCTGACCAAACTGTGTTGTGCTGTTGTTTTGTGGCCTGTTAATTAAGTGTCTGGATTTCTTGCCGTAGTGTCTGCAGAAAGGATCATTAAAGAGGGGGCGGCGTGGAGTCCATCAGACGCCTCGCCAGTAACGGCTGTGTGTTGGTGTGCCCGTCACATAATGTTTAGTGTCGGGCGTCGAGGCTGTCCTAAGAGGACAAGGTAGTTCTTTTTATGAGATATTGAACTCTCCTCATTTCACCAGCACTCATTAGACACGATGCAGACATATGCCATGACTGGGAGGCATATGAGGAGTCATTTGTAAAAGCCCAAAGGATCATTGTCAGTTCATTTGTCTCCTTTGCCTCTCGCAGGCTGTTTGGTTGTGTCGTTTGTGTCGAGCTTTTCCACAAAGTAAATGAACCTCTGAGGCTAGCTAGCTGTAAACCTCGTGTGTTACGTGGCCAGTTCTAAATCAAGCAGCCGTGCTATCAGCCTTCACACTCTGACTAGGATGTATCCCGTTGGGGTGAAGCAGCCAACTGATGCTTCTTCCTCTGCGTCTCAGCCGCTGTCTTTATAAAAATAACACCATGCTTTTACACCCAGATTTAAATATATATATACTATATATATATATATACATATATTACTGATAGCACCTCACCTTGGTGAGGAAAAGGCCTGTGGTGATCTGTTTCACAAATTTGGAATGAAAAAAGTAGTTTTGCACAAGCCTAAACCTTTTTTATTTTTAAGATTTAGCACTGGTTATTAGTTTTTTCTTGGAAAAATTCTTAGACAATTGTTGATTTATTTAGTGATTCTTATGAATCCAATATTAATGACCTTAGTAAATAGTTTAAAAAAGTGAGATCAGAGGAACAGTTGTGTTCCTACAGTAACTATTCCTCTCGACCAGTGCGTCTGGGGGAGCAGTGGTGATTAAGGAAGCGGACTTGGGTCCGGAGGGTTTCAGGTTCAAGTCCACCAGCTGCTAAGTTACCATCGAGGTCCACCGAGCATGGCACCAGCCCCACACACTGGGCGTGTCTTTTGGTCCATTCACCAGAAATTCTCAAAGACACTGACGACACCTTGAAGGAGTGAACAGTTGAGAATGTAACCAGATGGTAGCCACACAAGCCAAGCCTTTTTTTATGATCAGGCTTCAGATGTGAGAGTTGTGAAAGTCTTAATGCTGTTCTGTAGTCTCCTTCACTTGTCACAGGGTTATTTAACATCCATCAATCTTTGTGTGAATTCTTTGGATATGAAAAGCAGGCCTATGGCCAGGCTTTTGAAGGGACTTGTGATGCGTTGTTTTTGCTCTTTCAAGCCTGGAGATCAACACTGTGTTTGAGGACTTAAAGGTTTTTATTCTGTATTTTGAGTCATCATTTCATACGGTATGTGGTTTTTTGGACATTTCTTTAAATTTTGATGATTGTCCTTACATAAGAAAAGATCAATCTGAAAGAGTAGGGAAATGTTCTTTGTAGTGACAAGGTCAATAATGTCCCTGTTTATGACCAACAAAGTTAAGTTGAGCATTTGGGCTGAAGTATGGGATTGGACAGGCTGTTTTTTTTTTTTTTCAATGTTCGATCCTTAAACTTTGAACATTATCGGAGCGATATCGTTCTGGAGTATTGGATCAAGCCAGTGTTGGCCACTGCTTCTCTTTTCCTGTTCTTCTGACACCACAGTTGCTCAGGCTAAGGTTCACAGCTTTTCCTGTCTACCAAGTGTTCAGGGTATTTTAGCAAACAAGCAAAGCAAAGGAAATCTGTTGGCTTAGAATAAAGCTATAAGTGACCTTATCTATATATTTTTCTGAATGGTCTTCAAAAGCTCTTTTAAACAACATGTCATACAGATGATAGTGATACACAGAGACACTTCCTCCCTCTTCTAAATATAGTCGAGAGGTAGAAAAGCACCAACTTCAGTGCAGGATGCTCTGACAGGCTTTAATGACCTCCCAAAAAAGTACAGACCATGAGGTCATATTAAAATGAGGTTGAAATAGATTTATATAATCTAACAGGCAGAAAAAACAACTATTCTCTGATGTCAGACTGCTGTTACAAACTCAACAGACCACAGATCACTGACACAGAGCAGAGAAATACAGACCGTCTGTCCAGCATTAGAGGAAAGCTTCCCTTGCGAGTCAGCCAGACTCACCATACTCTGTGAAAGGCGGCTGAATATTCTGTTCCCAAACATGAAGACACAAGCTGTGTTCAGCTTTACAACAAACTTGAAAATCCTTGTGTGTTTTAGAGCTGTCATGGTGAGATTTAATAAAATGATGTGATCGTTCAGTTCATACTAGGTCTAGAGCGGGTAGATCAGGATCTACCAGTAGATCGCAGAGGCAGTGCTGCTAGATCATGAACAGTTAAAATAACGAAAAGATATATGTAAATATACTGTAACTTTAAAGAGTGTCGTAGTAAAAAAAAAGGTTACTTTGAGGTACATTTTAGTTTGAGCTTTTTGTATTTTTAAGTTGACCCATGTCCAAAGACTCAAAATACTACAATTGGATTCACAAGTTTGTCCTTAGTGACACCATTTGCTGCTACGACAGGAAGTTCAAACAGGAGAGGAATAACTCTGTGGAGAAAAGATTGAGAAGTGTTGAATCAGAGGCCTCAGTTGTCCTTTTGGCCTGAACAAATGCACTCCATTCATCAGTCTGTCTCCTGTTGTTGTTTGATCATCACTTTTATCCTGCAAGTAGCTGTCACCCTGGGAAATGTATTTACACGTATCTGCTGTTTACCCCTAATGTTTTGACACTTAAATCTCTTCCATTGTGGCAATGAGTTGCTGTTGACGCTTTTACGACAAAAAAATTGGCTTCTGCAAACATAACGCGTTTTTTCACATCCGCTCTGATTACAACAGGACATAAATACCACATCGTTAGTCAAAGTGATGTTCAGCCAAAGGAGCGAAAGCACTGATAAGCTAACTTAACACAGAGCTAATACAGTACATGTTGTTAAAATCACATTGTCGTGAAAACACCACAGATGATGGATGACACTATCTTACACTACGAGAAGGAGAATTAGTTCCTTACTTTATCAACAGGCCTCAACCAGGACTCTCCGTCATTGTTGAGTCGTAGCAGGAGGACAGTGCAGTTTGCAATTATCTCATCCATATCCACCACAGAGTGAATACTCTAATGAACTGCATAGATAAGCGTTGCGTCAGGTGTAGAGATCTAACTTTCTCATTGTAATTGGACTTGATGATGAATGGCGCTGTGGCTCCCACTGTGGCAGCACAGTTTCATCATGGGCCTCTGGCTTCTTGCTGGTTATTATTTGCATCCCGTGGGGATACATTGAGTCAGAGACTTTGTCGGTCCCGTGCACCGGAGTGGAGGTCTTCATCTATTTATCACGGGATCTGCGTGGCCACCCAGCCAGGCTGATGTATCAGATCGTGCTTGGCTCTCTTCTGCACCACCTTGAGGGGAAGGAGTAGGAGCAGATGTAACGTGTGGCTTTTACAGCTGTCTGACAGTGTTGGGGTCGGTCAACTCCTCAGACCAGATCACAGATAAATTTATCTTCACTGGGCATAAAGCTTTGTCTCTAAGTGTAGTCCAAATGATACTATGGTAAGACTTAGCCTTACAATCTTTCATGTGTGGATCTTAGATTACCAAAGATGTTAGACTCATTTTCTTTTTTGTCGAATAAATCAATGTGTGCTTGAGGTTTTTTTTCTTCCTCTGGGTTTAGAGGAAATTATATTCTTGTTCACCTTGGTATTCAGGGAACAGATATAACAATAACATGTGTGAGGAAGTGGTATTATCAAGGACAAAAAGGTTTGAGGTGATTTTGAAGTAACACACTGTGATTCTTGGATGCTTTCAATGCTCGCCAACTGCTTTACACACAAATTTAATCATTCAAGCAAAACTCAGCTGAAGTCACACCAGTTCCAAAATTGGCAAAAGAAAAGCAACTGATATACTATCACTATTGAACTGTTTAAACTCAGAGTGTGGTTAATGAAGCCTTGCAGTGGTTACACAGAGACGGTGGAAAATCAGAAGTAGTTCAACTATTTCTTTTGAAAATTGTACTGTGGTTGAGGCTTTTTTATGATTT